AATGTTTTCAAAAAAAAAAAAAAAAAAAAAAGCAAAAGCCTACAAGCCCCTAGTTAAGACATTTAAAGCCAGCGTCCCAATATTTTTACAATTTCTTTTTAAATTACAGGCCTATAATTCTTGGTGAATATATTTAATTTAATCTATTTAAAGATGGTTCTCCTGATGGAACTGTGACCCCGAAAGACTGCATCTAGACTTTGTTGATATTCCTGCAATACTCTGGCCGTTAAAAAAAATGAGATAAACGGGGTCCCTTGAAATCGTTAGGTAAATGCAGGAAATTATAAAGCAACTGTTTGTGGGTGTGTGTGCGTGCGTGCGTGCGTATGGCAGATAATGCCAAACCACAAAAGTCAAATATTTACACCAGGCGTGGGCAAACTTTTTGACTCGTGGGCCACAATTGGTTCTAAAATTGAACAGTGAGTCAAGAGCAGATAAATGGAGCGTTTGTGTGAACTAAGATAAATGACACGTAAAAGTCAAGCATAAAGGCTGAAAATGCTAAAATGCTTTTAGCCTCCGCTATGCCATCTATAGGGAAAAAAGGCAGAAGTCTAATCACAATACAAACCAATTGTAATAATTTGGACAAGAGTGACGGGCCGGATTACAAAAGCTGAACGGGCCGCGTCCGGACCCCGGGCCTTAGTTTGCCCATGTTTCCAATATTTTTTGCTTGTATGTGAAAAATCAAATTGACAACGATTTGAGAATTTGCACCAACATGCATTCATTTGACTGAGATAACTAAACCGACGTGTCAAAAATATCTACGTTAGAATCCTTCCTACATGTTGCAGTTGTCAACTCTTTCATCTTACAAACTTATTAACAGCTTTTATTCTGATTTTTTTTTTTTTTCTTTCCCCACAGATTTTCCTGCTGGCCTGCCCTCCGGGTAAAACAGCCATGGTGGTATTTAGGTGAGTCCATGTACCCCTGGTACCTAGCTGTAGTTGTGTCATTCTCAACAATGAGATCACTGTAATGAGATCATGGGTGGGGGGTCTGAATATAAAACGACTAGTCCGACAGACAGACGCAATGAATTTTGGTTTTTTCATAAAAGCATAATTGCCTCATTGATTGCAATTACGAGTCCTCTTCAGCAGAACAGACTGGAGAGTTTTAGGTGTAATGATTCAAGCTTTATGTTCCTCCCTGCTCCACAACTACTCCAGTTACGCAAGGAAGTTAATTATTCAAGAGGATTGCGGGTTTTTTTTTTTGGCAGGAAAGGGAACATGACGTGAGATTTACAGAGAAACAAATAAACTTTCTCTGTTTTTTTTTTTTGTTTGTTTTTTTTTGTTAAGCCTTTAAAAGTCATGTAAAATTACAATCAAAAATGACGACACAAAACGGAACCATTAGGCCACAAAACACAGTGTACTACGTCTGAGGAATTAGCCGATCGTGTTTTGATCTGATTTATGAGGCAGGCATCGGTATTTATAATTCTTGCAAATTAAATGGACCCATTTGTACCGTAGGGAAAAACACGCGAGAAATGTTAGACGCGGCTGATTTTCTGTCTACTTTCGAACATACTCCTAATGAGGTTACGGTTAGAATTGGGTTATAAAAACAAAAACACATGTAGATAGAAGAGACGCATCAGTCAGACACCAGTATCAGTATCAGGCATGATATTTTTTATTTAAATATATAGTTGGATTTAACATGCAAGTCAGCAAGCGTTATGAGTTTTTAACTGCAGTTCTATGTCTTGTTGCTGATTATTGTGTTTATTAATTTCGTTTGTTCAAAAACAGTGAAAATAGTAATACTCCGTTCGAGTCGACCCTTCTTTAATGAAATTTGCCAGTAATGTCAAAGCTCTGCTCACTTTCTGTCCATTTGTTCATTGTGCTACGTAAAAAGTTTGTTTGTATTTACCTTTATTTTTACATGACTTTGTATTTATTTTCTCCTAAGTCTCATTGATATGTTGTTGTTTGTCGACTTTTTGTGACATAAGAAATATTTATTTCTATCATATATTTTTTTTGAAATAACAACAACCTTGAAAATACTCGTACATGTCTTGGTTTGTAATAAAAATGTATCGGGACAACCCTTGGTAGATAGACCCATTTCTGTCTTTTAAATATAATAAATATAAATATATATATATATAATATAGTATAGGTGATCGTGATCGATTGAAGTACTAACAAATATGACCAGTAATTACTAGTCGGCCAGTAATCTACCAGCGCTGAAAGGACTTTTTTTGTCATCATTGAAATGCACTTTCCCTGCATAATAATAGGTGAAATCCCGCTCATTATATATTGTAAATAATGAGCAGTAAGTGATGATAAAGTCTTGTTGTCTCAACATAACATTGATTGTGACAGAGTGTAGAACCTAGACTGTAAACACAGTCAGCCAAAAAGAGGGGGGGGATGAGAAAAGACTGCTTGTTGTCGATGAAGTTGCTGGATTAGAATTTAAATCAGGTCGATTTGTTTTCCTCCCCAAATAAAAAAAAAAAAAAAAAAAATGGAGGAGGAAGGTTGGAGGCGTTTAGAGTGACTGCTGAGCTCATCTGACCTGACACTCACAGACATCACTGCAGTTTTCCCCGGTGACCTTAGTTGTCACAACAAGCTGCTGTGGCTCATTTGACAAAAAAAGAAGAGTTAATACGGGCCCTGACTTTGACACATTAACTGCAGAGACTTTATAGATGGCGGCTGCAAAAGTACTTCTCGGCTTAAAAACAACATTTATCCTGCAGCTGGAGAGTGTGTGTGTGCGCGAACGCCCGGCAGAACTCTTTAGAAAATCAGACAAATTCTGATGGAAGGTCTTGAAAAGTTCATTTGTCCCACGGCGTCGTCTCCTTCGTGTGATTTACGGGGGTGGGGGGGTGTTATTACGTTCCACGTGCGTACAGCATTGATCTGACCGCGCCGTCCAACACGTCCCAGGAGAAGTCACGCGGCAAAGACCGAGAGCCGCTGACTGATGCTGACGGCATCAGGGAGGCCTCTTTATCATTAAACCTTATCTGCGCTTCCCTTCAACTGCTCCCCGTGCACTTATCAACACTTATCGGCGATCATAACATGCCAGCAACGCAATTATGTTTGAAGTACGTGCTTAAAGTGATGGTCTGGTTTTTGGGAATATTTCAGTTGAAGGCACCGATGCTGGCAGCAGACTGCGTGGCCTTCTTCCTGCGCTTCCTGAAAACATTAACACGCACCCAACACCAGGATTTTCAGTGTGGCTGCCAGCCACACAACAACAGCAGGAAACTACAGCAAAAGTCTTTTTTTTTTTTTCCCTCCCCAAAACTTTCCAAGGCTACGTTGTTGCACACTCACAAGTCAATTGAGAAAGTCTACGATTCTAACCTTTTCAAGCAGATCAAAGTGTTCACTTGAGTGAAAAAAAAAAAAAAGTTGTTTGTGATTCATATTCACCTCACCAACACCAGCCGTTTTTTTTTTTGTTTTTTTTTTTTTTTTCCCCCCAAAATTTTCCAACGGCATGTTTTTTCACACCCACACTCAATTTCGAACCGCCGTTTTTTTTTTTTTTCCAAAATGTGACGTTGACGTCCCGGGATGTTTCTGTTTTCATTATAAATGGTGATTGTTAATGATTAATGATCATTAATGTGTGTTTTCAGGATGCAGGTCCATATGCTGAATGGCGCACTGCTGGCTCTGATGTTCCCCGTCGTCAACACTCGCCTAGTAAGTGACCGTAACCACCGAGTCTTTTCCTGTCTCCGCTGACGTGTGCGTGTGTCTCGGTTTCCCGAGCGTCTGATTCTAATGACAGCACAAACAAGGACTCTCGCTCAGCTTCGAAATGAGAAACTCATTTGTAACGTTTCATCTCCTTCTTGTCAAGAATCGTCATGTTGAAAGGATTTTTTTTTTTTTTTACTAAAGCATGGATCCAGAGTGAAAACCAACACAGACAATGAAGTGCTTTTTCAGCTTTAGACCGGGGTTATCGACAGTACGGGTTAAGCTCGTGGGAGGCGGACGCCTTACTCGCTCGCTCACTGTGAATTATACAGGACTGCGCCGTAGGATTAGACAGGAGATGTGACTGAAGATGCTTCTGATAATGCCAGCAGCAAATTTGCGTCCCACACACGGCCCCGGTGGACAGTGATAATTACAGTGTATGACTTAAAGGCACCTTTTGTCTACCCCAGTCTGCAGTCGGTGCCCTGTCCTCCACGCATAAATGACGCCGTGACTGATAAACAAAGAGAGGAAGAGGGGTGAGGGTGGGCAGCCGGGTCACAGAGTTACCACAATTATAAAGCACAGGGCAACTTTTTTTTTTTTTTTTTTTCTTAGCATAAATCGGTGTTTGATCTAACCAGTCGAATGCAGGACAGATGGAAGTTTCCGTACTCATTTTTATCTTCTTGTTGGATAGAATTGACGAGATAGGACTTTGGAAATAACAGGTAATTAAGAGGAGGTAAAAACGAAGGAAGAAAATAGTCGTCTTGACAGAAAAAAAATATGATTTAGTCATAGAAAGTTGAAGAAAATGTTATTCACAAGGGAAGAGAAATTGACTTTCACATCCTAAATAATGGCCATAAATCATGTCATAATCATGTTCCAGAACTACTAATTCTTTAGAATGAGGTACAGCATTTAGTCAGAGCTACAAACTACCTCGGCGGTTCCCACGTTTTCCTAAATAAAGAGACATTACGCAACATTTAAGGGTCACGGAGCATGCACGTCCTATCAGTGATACCATACTTACATATAGAGCATGTGTACTATAAGAAATTAACTGGGAAAAAAAAAAAAAAAACTTCAACCATAAAATAACAATTTCAAGTATTAAAAAAAAAAATTGCAATTTAACGTAACATTGAGCTCGTTTCTCTTCGTTTCTTACTCATTTTCACCAGGCTTTGGGCTTTATGTGACCTTGACCTTTGCTTTGAGATGCAGGTCATTCCTGCCAGGATGTTGCTGCAACGTCAAAATTCGAGCATTCACCAAGAATTTTTTTTATTCACTTATTCAAAGTTCCAAGTTTAATGTTACAGATCTGCCAGAATTTTTTTATTCACTTCAAAGTTCCAAGTTTAATGTTACAGAACACCAGAGCGTGCTCTTCTCGTTCGTTTTTCTTTCATATGAGGCATTGAAATGGTCTCATTTTAAGGCCTCCTGTGATGATCCTTGTACCGTGTCGCTGTTGTCAGAGCCGCATTTTTTTTTTTTTTTTTTTTTCTAAATGAACTTCTGTGGTTGTGTTTCTTGCTGCATCTGCCGTTACTAGGCAACAGCAACAAAAGCCGTAAGCCGCTGCTAAGGAGACGGTGAAGTTGCCGCAGCCTCCTTGAATTTATTAGGACATTCGGCTCAGGGAAAAAAAAAATAATCGTAATGAACAGACTGCGTCCTGCCCTGCACTTTTGTCAATTGAATCAAGAGCCATACGTCATTAAATGTTGGTTATGTTGTCATGACACGGTGAAATATCAGCTCTTATTAAAACTGCAAATGAAAAGAAACCCGGGGGGCTGCACTGGAATATTTATCTTCAAAAATCTAGTTTTAGCCAGCAGATGGAGTGGGGTAATGTCGAACTTTCTGGCTAAACGTTTGGAAAATCCTGCTTGGATTTAAGAACTTTTGGTGCCAGCTTAGCGTTGGCTGCTAATGCTAGCGTTTTAGACAGATCTGACGGAGTTCCTCTTTCTTTCCAGCTGCCGTTTGAAAAGGAGATCTACTACATCCAGCACTCCATGCTCTACCTGGTGCCTCTGTATCTTTTTAAAAACGGAGGTAGGTTTTGATTTTGTTTCCGAAATTGTTTTTCAATTTTCAAAGTACACAATACCAGTACACCGTATATTTCCATTTTAGTTTCAGTAAATCTTATTTACATACTCCATTTCGCTGATGTGTATTGCAGCCCTGCACGACAGGTTTTTTTTTTTTTTTTAGAGGCGGGAAAACTGTGCGTTAATTTAATGTCAAATCTGCAACGTCATAATAATCTGAACTTTTTTTTGGATCCCATATTTTGGGAAATCCCTGTGTTAACAGCAGCTGTCGTATTACGTAATGGTTTTTTGTTTTTGTGCGTTTGTGGTATAAATATAACTGAGCTGCGTACATGCTAAATAGCGTTCGAAGAAGTGAACAGCTCCGGTTTATCCAGAAACTGCCGAGCATTCTCCCTGTAAACAGCCTCCAGGGCCCTCGGAGGCTACAAGATCGCAGTCGCCGCCGCACTGGGCAGCCCCCCCTGCCCCCCCCCCAGCTGCAACTGTGTGTTCGAAAATGTAAACACACGGAAGGCACGCAAACATGGGAGGGACGCAAACGTCCACAGAAGTGACGTGGATTTCACCAGCGTGAGAAGCGAAAAGGAGGGATAGGGATAGTTTCAGAGGAGCCAAAGAGCGTACGTGGGGGTGATTAAAGCACACGGTGTCCTGTTCTTCAACAGACATGTCACGGGGGGGGGGGCAGAACTGTTTTCAATTGCGCTCCTGCTTTGCATCGACAGTTACAAATCTGGAAATGCCGGTTTGAAACCACATCTCGTTTTTTTTTTGGCCTCGACGTGTTCTCTCTATTCCCTTCCACCCCTGTGTTGAAGGGAAATTGCAGTAACTGTTGTTTTGGGTTTTTTGTTTTGGTTTTTTTTGGTTTTTTTTTACTTTGTTGAAGAAACAATGTTGCAGTCCTGCAGTGCTGCTGCTTTCACATCGTTTTGGTAGCATATGCGAACACATTTTTAACAATTCTGAAAAACTTAACACAACATAACACAACATGGATAAGAGAGGGAAAAAAAAGTGTCTATTTAATGCACCCATCGATTACATATTCACGCTAATCATCACGTGTATTCTCAAAAATTTGGGGGAGTGCTAAATTGACAGGAAGTTGCAATCACCTTGGGAGTGCCTTCAGCGTCCTCGTTTCCCTTCTAGTGTTTTTTTTTTTTTTTTTTGTTTTTCTTTTTTTTTTTTTTTTGTTTTTCTTTTTTTTTTTTTTTATTTATCTTTTATTTTTTCCAATTTGTATTCTTTCTTTAGCGGGCACCCCCCTCATGTTTATCGACAATTTCCTGCTTTATTTCCGTGGTCATCGTGCGTTTCTTCTTCTCACTACCGTCCTTGTCGCTCACTCTCTTAGGACTCTTCACTATTATGAAGAATAATGAGAGAAAAATCGCGTAGATAACGCAAACGCAATACGGAAGAGTCGCGACGGCGTCCGTAAGCGTGCTCGTATCTCGGGTCTTTACTTGTATCTGGAAGCAAAAAATGTACTCGTATCTCGGAAATACTCGTATGTCGAGGTTCCCCTGTAGTATCCACTGTAACATTCTCAGTGCTGTGTTTGTTTCATGACATCACACAAGAGAAGAGAAAACAAACCACAGCGCAGGGATTCAGGTCGACGACTCTTGGCATGCATATGCAAAACTCCTGAAACTTTGTTTCAGTCATTCCACCCCAAAAGACCTGCATGTATCTAGGCCACCGCCGCCGCCTGACACTAAGGAAAGTCAACCTTAAATAAAATGGCCCCGAAATAGGCTGTGAATTTAGAAGCAACATTTCCTACTAAAACACATCACACGGCACGACACGTTCAACCTTCCCTCCCTTGACCCACAAAAGTATATCTGTTACTTATGTTTAATAATTACCCAAAATGGCCCAAAAAAAATCAGTTTATGCTGTTGGGCGACACCTGCAGGGAGCGAGAAAAAAAAAACCAAAATTCAAATCTATCAAGCAGTGGGATTTTTTGGACTGAGCTGAATGAAATGTAATGAGTCATTTCTCCGACTCAGGCCCTTCTCACTGCTGCTGCTGCTGCTGCTGTTACACAATGATGAATCTGGCTCCACTGATTTGAATGGAGGCGCTCTGCACTTTATTTACCCAGTGCTGTGGTAAATGACTGAGCTCCGATGGTGGTGATGATGAATATTTTTAATTCGTCACACATAAACTTAACCTTTCATCACAGCGGGGACAGTCCTTCATTTTCCCTGCAGGTTTTTCTAAAGTGCATGCCCTTCAAATATGTACGGTTTCTGATCTAGTAGTTCACACAAACTGCATTATATGGGTTTTTTCTTCTTTTTTTTTTCTTTTCTTTTAATTTAAACCAGTTTATGAACATACTCTTTTTAAGCAGTATTACACACAATAGACAATAAAAAACATTGTTAAAGCAATAATAAAATGCAATAAGATACGTAAAAACAAAATGTATAGATAAGTCGTTTACAAAAGTAGTAGATAAGCAGTATAAACAGTATTGGTAAAAATGTATATATAAGACCAATTTAAATTATGGATAAAGAGCATAACTGTAATAATAATGAGTAAAAGGTATATAACATATAGGTAAGTATTATGTCAGTGTATAGATAACCAGCATACGATACTTTGTTCTTTGTCTAGTGAAGACTTTTTTATATATTTTTATATATATATATATATATATTTTTTTTTTTTTTTTAACACATTTTAAACATGCGTAAGTTAAAATGAATATTTGCCACAAAGCAGCGAAGGAGACAACAACGACGTCGTTATTTCCCAGGCTGTACGGCTGCGTTTCTTCCTGAAAGTCTGGGCTGCGGTGATCCATTATATTCATCTGAATGGCTCACAGCAGGATGCACAAGTCCAAATCTAATAGCCTGGGTCTCAATAATGTCCCCTGATGATATCAGTGTCTGCCGTTGCCCTAGAATCCATTATGAAAGTATGCGCTGCTGTCATCCGCCCGTGCTGCCGGCAGTCGGCTGGAACAGCTCTCTCAACAGAAAGCCTGGCTTTGAGCTAACTTCCCTGTAACTTTAACACTAAAACAAAACTTTTTTTATGGCTAAAGTAGAAGTACTTTTTTTGCTTTTGTGTATTCCGATGTAATGTTATCCTGAGGATAAATACTGTAGGTGAAAATATCGGCCTGAAGAATCAGTCCATTGTGTAATTAATCTCAACCCCGACATGAGGAAAAAATCCAGTGTCCAGTGTTTGAAATGTGCCCAGAGAACAGGACGGTGTTGATTTCAACAGCTGAATTTGATTTTTTTTTTTTTAGTCAGTCGACTTAATTGTGACTTAGTCTTAATTCTGACCTTAGCTCTAGCTTTTGATGGCCTTCTAATAGGAAAACTATGTTTTATTGAGCCTTGTTATTATTAGTGGGGTTTTTTTTTTATAGATTGAAGATATTGTATTTTTATTTTATCCTACAGTTATTTATTAGAATTGAGGATTATATTACACTTTTCATGAAAAACATACAAAATACTATTAAAATGTTGACAAGATTTGGCAACAAATTTCTTGTCATATCTCAGCCGTATTTAATCACGAAACAACAGCGGCTGGGTCGTGTTTATCTTTGGGTTGATGTCGGAACGTCTTAGAGACTAAGGTTGTTGACTAAGTGAATGATTTAAACAAAAAAGAAAAAAAACAAAAAACAAAACCTACATTTTGATCTGCTGATGTTTAAACCACATATTTTAAGGCTTTTCACGTCTTTTTTTGTTGTTGGTTTTTTTTTTTCCTTGAATCGGAATCCTTGAATTCCTTGAATCGCAACCTTAACGTGGTGGAGGGGTTTGAGTATCCGAATGAACCTAGGAGCTATGTTGTCGGGGGCTCAACGCCCCTGGTAGGGTCTCCCAAGGCAAACAGGTCCTAGGCGACGGATCAGACAAATAGCGGTTCAACCCCCCCCTTTGTGATGAAGAAAATAATTAAATCAAAGAGGTTCACGTCGCCCGGATTGGCGTCACCGGGGCCCCACTCTGGAGCCAGGCCCGGGGTTGGGGCTCGCAGGCGAGCGCCTGGTGGCCGGGTCCTTGCTCACGGGACTCGGCCGGGCTCAGCCCGAACAAGCGACGTGAGTCCGCTTTCCAGTGGGCCCACCACCCGCAGGAAGGCCCACAAGGGGCCGGTGCCTTGTGATTTGGGTGCCGGTTGTGGGCGGAGACCACGACGGCCCAATCCCTGGACAACCACTCTAGCTATGGGGACATGGAATGTCACCTCGCTGGGGGGAAAGGAGCCTGAGCTCGTGCAGGAGGTTGAGAGATACCGACTAGATATAGTCGGGCTCACCTCCACACACAGCTTGGACTCTGGGACCCAACTCCTTGAGAGAGGCTGGACCCTTTTCTACTCTGGAGTTGCCCGCGGTGAGAGACGGCGTGCTGGCGTAGGCTTACTTATAGCCCCCCAGCTTGCCAGTCGTGTGTTGGAGTTCTCCCCACTGAGGGAGAGGGTCGCTTCCCTGCGCCTTCGGGTCAGGGACAGGTGCCTCACTGTAGTTTCGGCCTACGGGCCGAACAGCAGTGCAGAATACCCGGCCTTCTTGCTGACACTGAGAGGAGTACTGGACAGTGCTCCTCCCGGGGATTCCATCGTCCTGTTGGGGGACTTCAACGCCCACGTGGGCAACGACAGTGACACCTGGAGGGGCGTGATTGGGAAGAACGGCCTCCCCGATCTAAATCCGAGTGGTGTTTTGTTATTGGACTTCTGTGCTAGTCACAGTTTGTCCATAACAAACACCATGTTCAAGCATAAAGGTGTCCACCAGTGCACTTGGCACCAGGACACCCTAGGCCGGAGGTCAATGATCGACTTTGTAGTCGTGTCATCTGACATCCGGCCGTATGTATTGGACACTCGGGTGAAGAGAGGGGCTGAGCTCTCAACTGTTTACTATCAAAATGTTGACAAGATTTGGCAACAAATTTCTTGTCATATCTCAGCCGTATTTAATCACGAAACAACAGCGGCTGGGTCGTGTTTATCTTTGGGTTGATGTCGGAACGTCTTAGAGACTAAGGTTGTTGACTAAGTGAATGATTTAAACAAAAAAGAAAAAAAACAAAAAACAAAACCTACATTTTGATCTGCTGATGTTTAAACCACATATTTTAAGGCTTTTCACGTCTTTTTTTGTTGTTGGTTTTTTTTTTTCCTTGAATCGGAATCCTTGAATTCCTTGAATCGCAACCTTATTTATGATCATGAAACTAACATCTCCCACCGAGGGTATAGTCCAGCCATGAATTCCGAAGTCCGGGGGCTGAATCCGGCCCCGCCAAACTTTTCCAAATGATATAGTTTATTTATATTATCATTAAACTTCTGCCTTTTCCCCTGCAATACCCACGTTTCCCCAATAGATGGCGAAGAAAATGATAAAAGCATTTTAGCCTTTATGCATGACTTTTACATGTCATTTATCTTAGTTCACACCAACTCTCCATCTATCTGCCCCTGACCCCCCCCCCCCCCTTTGTGTCAATTAAAGGAGCTGTGATTAAAAGCTCCCCCCGTGTGTTTTGTTTTCTCAGGTGTGTACAAGCCCGAGCCTCTGGGTGACATGTGGTGGGCGCTCCTCTCCACCGGGGTCCTCTTCCTCTATCACTTCATCTTCCTGCAAATCCTTGGTCTGGTAAGATAGAGCCATCTTCTGGCTGTTGCGCGACATTTCACTTCATTGCATCATTATGTGGATAATGAGCAACAAGATGATTATTCTGACTAAAACGTGACATGTTGTCAGTTTGAACGCATACTTAGGGAGGTAGATTTATTTTTTGTCATTTTTGTCCGCAAGTTTTTTCTTATCCACGTAGGTTAGCGAATAGTGGTGAAAATGTTGCTAATTCAGGTAGCTGGTGTAAATCGATAGAAATATAGATTCAAGTATGATAAGATTGTTGATTGTTTGCTGTAAGCTAACTGACTGATGGCAAAACTAACGGCCCCATCCAGGTTAAAAAAATGATTTGTCTTTTTCAATGGGATTTAAGCCAACGTTGTCTGCAGTCAACATCACTAACGTCAACTTTTGAATGGCATTTTTACACCAGTAAAAAAAAAAAAAAATAGATATTTTGAAATAACGTCAAAGCTACCAGTTCTACCGGTGAGGTACTTTCGTTGTTCGCGAATTTTCATTCTTTACAATTTCTTCTTTACAATCCCCCGCAAGAACGATACAGTGTCGCCGGGGTCGGTTCAGACAAAAACTAGCACTGTTATTGTCACAGAGGTGACTGAAAAGAAGAAGCAGCGACTCTTGGGAGCTGTTCGGGAGAACTCGTATTTCAAGTTACTGAAGTTACCATGAAAACAAGGACGTGAGAAGATTTCTAAAGAACACATGGTGTAGCCAATTCAGAACTCTATCTTGATGTTGATCTTTGTGTTGTCTTTTCATAACAAAGTGACACAAGATCTATTCTGGTTTTTCTGTACGTAATGTTTGAGATTTTCTACAAGAGTGAGTCACGAAGGCATCAAGACGGATGTTCCACCGCTATATAAGTGGTCGGATTTTAACAGCTAAAACGTCTATTTACTCATCGACGAATTGATTCGACAGGGACATTGTACACATTTCGTAAACATTTCTGTAAATCTACCAGAGCCAAAAGGGTCAGGGAAATAATAAAAGAAAAGAAGAAGAAGTACACATCGCAGATTTTTTTTAATCCGATCTTAATAAATAAAAAGAAGAAGCAGTACATCGCAGATTTTTTTTAATCCGATCTTGCGATATTTTTTAATCTGATATCGCGATATTTTACGGTAAATAAAAAATTTCACTATTTTCGTGAAAAAATAATTTTCTAGCCTAAAAAGGAAAAAAAGCAGTATATAAATAACCCGCATGTCATATATGGTGAACATTTAATTAATGTAGGGTAGCCTAACCACAGGAGGGCACCGTTGTTGTTGTTCGCACCACCAGAGTCAGGCGGTTGTCAGTGTGGGGGAGGTTCGAAAAAAAATGGTAAATATATATATATACGTTAATCATATGATAACTATGTCGCCTGTACTTCGCGATTTTCCCCATTTCGCGGTGGGTCTAGGAACGCAACCACCACGTCTCCGAGGCGCATCGAACAGCTTGATAACTACATTTTAGCCAAGTGTTGATCTGGTTTTCTTAGACTTAACCATCAAAATAGCTTAACTAATCGTGAAACTTGTTGTAAAATAAGCTTTAACAACCGTTAAAAAAAAAAAGAAAATCAAAGTATTTCCAACTCTTTTCTTGCTTATTTACAAAACTGAAAAGATTTTTAAGGAGCTCAGTTTTAGACCAGGCAGAAAACCAGGTTTCTGACGCGGTGAAACCAGAAACATCCATTCATAGAAAGATAGTAATTGCTCAGTTGGATGTGCGGCGATTACATTACATCATCACCGGAGGTCGTACCAATGTCCATGTCTAACTACAGCTCTCTCTCTGCACCCCTGCAGGCTACCGAGGTAAACCTGAACAACATGCTGTGCCCGGCCGTGTCCGACCCCTTTTACGGGCCTTGGTACCGCGTCTGGGCAACGGGCCATCAGACCCTGCTGACCCTCATCCACGGGAAAGTCCTCACACTGCTGTCTCAGCACACCGGCTCCGTGTGCCGATACCTGTCGGACGCGCTGCGTCTGCGGAGCAAGAAGGTCGACTGAGGGGAAGGGGGTTGAACGACGACGAGGGAGACGCCAAACAACAGACTGACCTTTTCACTCTAAACAAAGTTTATTCAGAACACCACGACAATTTATTGCATCTTTTTAAGGAACAACGATCCATCTGTTTGTACCGAAGCACATGAGGTTTTCAGGGAGAGCGCGTCAGTTTGTCATTTTGTCAGCGGTGTTGTTGTCATCCGTCACTGGGGCAGCACTCGCATGGACAAACACGGCGCAACATGTTTACTAGATGGGCACAGTGGACGCACCAACCCTTTGGGAATCCACTGATGTAAGAGAAAAGAAAAAAAAAAAATCCAACTCCAACTGAGTGGTCACACATCGCTCATACGCGAGGAAGGTAGACGCAAAGTTGCCATTTTATCCTATATTAATTGCTGTACATGTCGTTACTTGTTTTTTTGTTTTTTTTGGTTTTTTTTTTTATGATCACTCTTTGTGTTTTCCTTTTTGTTCCCTTCCTTCTGGCAGACAGGCTTGAATACACGTTGAGATTAAGTGGAGTGAGCGAGGATCAAAGATTCGTTTCTAAACGTTGGATGAATGAATGTGATATTTTTTTTGCCAAATTATACTTTTTTTTTTTTTTTTCTTCTTGTAAATAGGTAGACTTGAAATCCATGTCGTTGGTTGAAAATGTTTTTGTTAGTCTCCCAGTGCTACCTGGAATTCTTCCTCCTCTCTCCGCAGTGATTTACCGGTCTGTTCCAGTGACAACTGGACGACCTGAGTGATGTCACGCTGACACTCGGTGTCGAAGGAAAATATTAACTGATGTTGAATCTGTAATATGGGTGTAACATTTCAAGTGTGAAGGATGTTTGTGGATTGATGTAGCATACTCTGTACTCTTGTAAAAAAAAAAAAAAAGAAAGGGACAATTTTTATTTTTATTTTCATCAGGTGAAGTGTATATGCTGTGTTGACAATTAAAGTGACCCTGTTCTCATGAAGATGAAGTGTGGTCAGGGCATGATTCGAGTTTTTTTTTTTTAAATGAGTGGTGGGAGGCAGTGAGTTTTAAATATGTTTTTTTAAATGGGTGGTGGGAGGCAGTGAGTTTTAAATATTTAGAAACAAACGGAATAGAAACTACGACACATGCAGGCAGTGTTCAGACTTAAGACAGGCCAAATTTAAAGCCTGGAGCGCCCTCTAGCGGCTGTCAATGTAAAAAAAAAAAAAATGTAAATTTTTAGTAGTAAAGGAGTAGCACATACTGGTACACAAGCCTAGAGTGCCCTCTAGCGGCTGTCAGTGTGAAAATAACCAACATGTACATTTTCAGTAGTACAGAAGTAATAGATACTGGTACACAAGCCTAAAGTGCCCTTTCAGTAGTACAGAAGTAATAGACACTGGTACACAAGCCTAAAGTGCCCTCTAGTGGCTGTCAGTGTGAACATTTTAATTATACATTTTAATATATAAGTTGCACCTGAGTAGTGTCTCAAACCCAGCCAAATGATGGGGGAAAAAAAGGGACTTATAGTCCGAAAAATAACAGTACTTGGAATTTTGAACAAATGAAAGTAAAACAAGTAGAAGTTTACTCTCAACACCACAAGAGGGAAACAGGTCAAACGAGATAAAACCCGAGGGAACAAAGCATTACGAGGTCATCTGTGAAAGACATCCTTAAATACGCTTCCTTTATTTCTTCTGTGATTACTTCAAGCTAAGGATAAAAAAACCTTAAATGCTATTTACTCGCTGGCTTCAGCAGAGTCAATATTTATGTTCACAGTCTTGGCGTGAGAAGAAATCCAACACGGTGACAGCGGGGGAAATGTATCTGACAGCTCGGACACAAATGGCATAGGAGACAATATAAATCTCCGGTGAAATAAAGTGACGGGAAGTTGAAAATGGACGGGCTGCTCCCACAGCTCCACTTCCTTCCGTCGAATTGACTTGTCAGTATCATTCATTCAGAGAGATGGAAGCCCCGGGAGACAGACACAGGAGAGAAAAAATAAAGTGCTGCTTAATTTGATCTCGGCTGAACTCAGGCCAG